TGCGCTGCTCCGCGCCGGAGTTGCTGACGGTGCAGGGGTACATGGGGATGCTCTGCAGGAAGGGGACGGGGGTGCTCAGAGGACCTGCGGAAGGGAACAGGAGAAGGCGACTGCATCAAGCACGGCATGGCACAGCTCCAGGGTGCTCCGGCTGCTGGTCTGAACCTGCAGCAAAGACCCGAGACCCGTGTTCCAGCCCCGCGCGAGCAAAGGGTCCCCCAGCCCGGCCCACCAGCGGCAAACTGGGCACGCAGCTGTACACAGGTGAATTTGCAGGTTCTGTTCTCGGATCTGGCCAGCAGGCTCGGAGGGGCCCCAAGCGCCGCTCTGCAAACATGGGCACAGGCTGAGCCCATGCGCAGCTTGTGACCACGGTCTGTAACAGGATCAGGGCGGGACAGCCTGGGTCACAAACCCAAATCCCCCAAGGAGAGGGGACTGGGGGCTGCGGGACCACGCCGGCCCCTGGCTGTCCCTGCCCAAGTGCTGATCCTCATCTTTCCACTGACTTTTCCCGCTGATGGCTAGCCCCTGCGCTGTCACCCCAAAACACAGCTGTTTCACAAGCCAAAGGAAATGTCCTGGGCAGAGCCACGAGCTGGTTTCACAGCATCTCCATGTCCTGCTGACCGCAGAGGCGTTCCCAGGGGCCCGTGAACCCCACAGCTCTCCCCACTCTCTTGTACTGGGATCCACAGGGCACTCAGCATGGACACACGAGGTAGCGAGGTCCCGGGCCCACCCCACTGCATCCCTAAGGCTTCACCCACCTTCCAGCAACTTCCTGAGCTGCTTCTCCTTCTTGGCGATCTCATTCAGGAAGAGCTTGGAGTTGAGGTGGCCGATTTTGGGTGGGGGCAGGCTGCCACCTGTACAGTTCTGGGTCCTGTTGGGGACCGTGGGCAGAGAGGAGAGGCATGAGGGACAAGGCACGCTCAGGGGAGGGTCAGACAGATCCTTCCCCAACACCCTCCCTGGGCCAAACCCCTTCCCTAGGGCAGCACTGTGGAGGGCAGAGGGGAGCTGGCTCTCTCTGACGGGCAGGACCTTCCCCATCCAGCTTTGCTGTGAACGTCCAATGCCAGGGTGCAGCTCCCGCAGCCTCTGCATCCCCCCGCACGGCCACCCCAGCTCGTCTTGGTTCTGCCAGTGCTGGCTTTAACCCCCTGTCCCGCCTCTGCTCGGGCAGAGCTGGACTGAGCCCTGTGTCCCAACCCAGCTTGTCCCACCCTGCCTTGGGTGCTGGGTCCCAGCTCTGCCCTTCCACAAGCACATCACTACGTTTCCTCTAGTCCAAGGGGAGGACTTGATTCAATGGCTGCAGGAGGGGATTTTTTTCACCCTCCTGGACAGAGAGGGAAACCAAGGCAGGGAGCATGCCTCTCCCAGGCCCTGTAGCATCCCTGGCCCTGGGTCCTCCTCCAGACATGCCGCTGCCACCCCTGTGAACACAAACGTGCCCTTTCCCCCTGAACACACCTGCCCCGCCATGCTTACCTGTCCATTAAGATTTTCACAGACTTGGTGTTCTAGGAGGAGAAGGAGAAGCTCTGGTCAGTAAGGCCAGTCCCTGCCCCAGCAGTCACCTCCCTTTTCGGTGGCTCCCCAGGAGGGGACAGGCTGCCGAGGGGTGCTAAGACCCCTCTCCCCCCAGCACGGGCTGTCCCAGCCCCAGCCCCATCTCCAGCTGCGGCACCTCCTCATTTGAGGCTGGCACTGAGCCTGCCCCACTCCTCCTTGCCTTCTCCCACCGCTGAGTCCTCTGGAGACATCAGCTAGCCCTGTCAGTGTCCCCAGCACACTCCCCACCATGCCCCACAGCTCTCCAATGCACCTTACACAACCAGACCTCCCCCCATCCCACCCTTGGCACAGGCAGCTTGCTTTACCTTCATGAAGTTGATGTCCTCGGTTTTGTCGAACATGACCTGGACAGAGCTGAGAAGCTTCTTGGCCTCCTGCATGCGCTCGTTGAGGTGGAGGACCTGGGCCGCGTTCTCGTTGCAGAACTTGGCCTGGGCCTTGTCCAGGATCTCCATGGTCTTCCGCAAGTCCTCATCCAAGATCTGGTGCATCTTCTCGTACTGCAGGCGCACCTCGTCCTTCAGCTGGCTCACCTTCTCCTGAGGGACAGGAGCTGGGTCAGGCCTTCTGTGCCCTCCAACCTCTGCCGTGATGTCCCAGGACACTTGGGTCCTTTCCCCAGCAGGTGTGGGTGCGACCTGAAAGCTGCACCACAGCTCTGCTCTCCTGCAACACCCACCTGGACCAAACCCTGCTGTCAGCTGCCACATGGGACTCTCACGTGCCAGAGACCCAAGAGGGACATTGCGGAGATTTGGTTGATCCAGCAGATCCCCTGGACCTACCTCCTGAGGTCTAGATGGGGATCGCCTCCGAAGAGCTAACGCCAGGCGACAACCTGCCGCACTACCGAGGCAGATGTGCTCCCTTCAAAAACCCTGCCTATCCCCATCTTCATCTTCATCCCCATTCCCATCCTCACCCCAGGCTGGGGACGTGGCGTGCTCCAGAGTCCTTCCTTCCACACTCTGGGAGGCCAAGGGGCTTTAAGGACCATGAGCTGATCTTGTTTTATGTGTGTCCCAGCAAAACACTCGCTTGCATCTCTTCCACCCCCTGGGTATTTCAGCAGTTTATTCAGGGATCTCCCTGCTCCAGAACCTCCTCTCCTGCTTGGGATGAAGCGGGTGGCCCAAGGAAGGTTGGGCTGAACTGAGGGCAGAGTGGGCCACCTGATATTTAAGGACAGCCTTGTTCCTGGCATCCCAACTCACCTCAGGACCCACAAGGCTGGAGGGCAGCCCCAAACACATTTCATCCCCCAAAAGGATGACTGCCAAGACAGAAATGGAGACAGCAGGTCGGTCTGGTCGCTTCTCCCCTGCATCTCCTCCCTCCTCCCTGCCCACCTGGCCCCTATGCCCCAGGAGCCTGTCCCCATCATGCCACAGGGTGACAGTCCCCCGGGCTGGCCGCAGCAGGGTGAAGCACCAGTTACCTCGACCAGCCGCTTGTCCGATTCCAGCTTGTAAAGCTGCTCTTCGATGTCTTGCTCCCGCTCCTCCAGGCGGTCCTGCTGCTTCATCAGCATCTTCTGCAGAGATGGGAGAGAAGAACAGCCGTCAGAGCCCAGCGGCCACATGCGCCAGGAAGCTTCGGTGCTGCCCACACTGGCTCTGCCCACGCGGTTCGGGAGGGACAGTGCTTTGTCCCAGCGGGATGCCATTGCCGTGCTGAAAGCCCACACATGGCTGGTGGAGGTGGAAACTTCGCTATTTCAATGGCCACGCAGAGGGGCCGTGTGTGCTGGGCTCAATTATCAGCTGGGGACCTTGATTTGGGTCCCCTGGATGGGGGCAGCCCCTTGGGTAACTTTTTTGCAGCCCAGTCACTGGGTTGTGGTCAGAGCCAAGCCCTGGAGACCCTGGAGGGGACACGGCGAGGCCCACTATGGCAGCACCGTTTCAAGACCCATCACCCACTGCCGGCAGCCTCCTGCGAGATATCACCACCCACCCCCACCCCCATGCCCCTGTACGCCACGCCAAATCCTTTCTCCCTTCCCCGCCTCCGTGACAAGCCCCAGAGCCAGCGTCAGTGTAATCGGGAGGGACAGAGAGAGGAGGAACGCAGCCTCCCCCCACCATGCTGCCAGCCCCCGGCCCCCACTCCTGGGGGCTGGGCCTGGGCCATCAGCCCAATAACTGGGACAAGACCTCATCCCCAGCTATCAGCGCGAGTGCCTCGCTCCTGTGCACTTCCCCGGCCAGGATGAAACCCACTACCCATGAGAGAAGGGCTCTGTCTCAGTGAGCAGGAGCAGAGCTTCCCAAAACACCCCTCAAAATCAACTCCAAATTTTCCCCCTCTGCGGTTATCCCAGCGAAAAGCCACCACACCAGCAGGGCGAGGAAGAGAAGGGCTTTGCCCAGCACAGAGATGCAGCGTTAGAGACTTCCAATGACAGGGGCAAGATGGGAAGAAACCAGCAGTGAGGATGAATTTTGAGGGGATTATTGCTATTATAAACCGCCACTCGGGGATTTATAACCAAGTAATTAATTCGTGGACGAGGCGGGAGGGGGAGGGTGGCAGAGGCACTGCTGGGATTAATTGCATTGCAGGGAAAGACTGTCACCTCCGACTCAATTCAGGAGCAGGGATGTGAAGCCTCCTCCCTCCTGTTGTTT